TACCACCCGCCCTTTACTACTCAGCTGAACATCTTCAGATCTTTGTACTTCTGCTATCCAGCTAACCCTGCTTCTAGGGGTGGGCATTATGGCAAAAATATAATTTCACAAATTTTTTCAGGCAAGATCACAAAACATGATCTTACCACAATATAGTACAATTAAACTTATTTCTCCATTAAAAAAAAAAAAAACCCTACAGGGCAAACTAACCTAACAGAAAAAAAAATTAACAGACCATTTGGTATTGCATGTTGACCATAGAACTGCAATTGATAGAAAGCACACTGTAGCACAATACAATGATCTTTCTGTAAAGGCAGATTATGCATACATTTTAATTGTTCATCATATAATATCACCATATCACACACCCCTACCTGCATCTATGTGCTGCTGCTGGCATGGCTGCCAATAGCTCTGTAACTCATGTGATATTTCTTCAAATGTCAGTGAAATAAAGTGTACAGTAGGACTTGTAGTCAGAAATTTGCCTTTTGTGTTTCCCAGCTGATCAGAATCTGTTTCACTGAGTGACTACAAAGCTAATGCAAACGCCTCTTCAATTGTATAAGAAAGGATGTTCCTGCATTAAAATATGTGTCAGTTGTTTTATAGCAGGTTGCAACCTTGTGATTTGAATTTGGTTGATTTTTTTCATTTGTAAAAGAAATAGGTTACACCTCAACAGTTTTTTCTGCCCCCTCAGAGCTATATAGCCCTTATCTCTATCAGCTGACTCCTGAATCAGTTTCTGGCTTGCTACTTCCTCTCCATCATTTTCTTTAAATCTTTCATCATTTGCACTTTCTTTACTTTCTGCATGTTTCTGTAACCACTGTTGCATCCTTTATCCTTCTCATCTTCTCCTCCCTCTTCATCCCTTCATTCACCTCTGAAATATTATAATCTCCCACTTAGAAAAAAAATGACATTACATCAAGCTGTACTAAAACCTGCACAGTGTGTATTATAGCAGTTTAACACTAATGTGTGAAAACAAGTTAGAAGTTTGAGTCACTTTAAAGCTAACTTCAACTATAAAGCAGCAACAAGAAGGGTTCATAACTACTTACTTTACTATTTCAATTGACAGATTACTATTTGTGATGAAGATGCAATATCTTTCCACTGAAGACTGATTGACTCTGTGTCCTATAAAAGCAGCTCCTGTTAAGATTACAGTCTACCACTGGTGATGGATTGATAACCCCTCCAATTAACAGGATATAAGAGCCCTGAATGCAATGTTTGGAAAACTAGTGATCTTAGAATTTGTAGAAGAAACTAAGCCTATAGATTTAGCACACCAACAGGTGTAAAGTCTGCCTGAAGGCTATTTCAGAATGTGACATAAAGGCAAAAAGCATATCTGGGGCCATACTTCTCAGTTGAACAAGTCCAACGTGGGCTGATAGTGCACAGTGTAAGAAGTACGAGTTGCATTGGTTACATTTCAGCGTGAATATTAATGAATGTGAAATTTCAATACATATAAGGAAAAGATCGGAATATAGGGGCACGGGTTTAGGAATGTCATGCCACTAGTCTGAGTGCAGTCTTAAGAAATGTTCAACAGATAAAAAAGCACAGAGGTCTCCACACCTCACAGCTAGTGAACAAGGTTGCCAGCAATAAGACATACTGCTGCTCAATCATATGGGTACATATGATACTATAAACAGCAACAAATTGTAAATGTAATCTTTAAATGCTTGCAATGTTTTTTTATACCTTGCAAATTCACAATTCAGCCTCAGATGCTTATTTAAAAGTCATTTAAATGTGCCACATTACTTTGACTTCCTTGCAATAAGTATTCAACTAATGTAAATCTTTGCATTATTACCAAAGAGGTCTATTCCCTTCATCAATTTTAAACCACCTCATTTATATTAAATCCTTTTGCTTGTTACAGGTCCTGGACATCTCAAGTAAGTCTGTACAGGAGGCCAAAGAAAAACAGAGGGAAAAGCCAGCTGCAATTTTCAAAATACCTAAATGTAGCCCACACTTTGTGTATAAAAGTGATTGTTACAACAAGCCAAAAGAAACAGTATTTTGATTTTCTGTATGTCCTGCACATATGGTGAACTGACAATAAAATCCTTGAACTGAACTGAAACTGAAAAGAAGGCCAGTGCAGGGATCTCACCCCAAGCAGTCGAGGCAGAAGGCCGCCCACCAAGAGCTGGGATCTGTCGGAGGTTTCTTCCGTTAAAGAGAGTTTTTCCTCCCCACTGTCGCCAAGTGCTTGCTCAAGGGGGATTTGTTGGGTTTTCCCTCTGTAATAATAGTAATAATAGTAAGGTCTATACCTTACTTTGTAAAGTGTTCTGCGATGACTTTTGTTGTGATTTGGTGCTATACAAATAAAATTTAATTTGATCTCTTGATCTCAATATTACTCTCCATGACACAAAATTGTGATTGTGTTTACATGTCACAGACATTAAAATTAGACACTGATTGCATGTACTAGCTTCAAACCACACCTAAATGTTATCAACATTCCCAGTTAAGAGTCAATAGGCATTATTATTAATGACAAATTACACATTAATAACAAACCATTATAATACCTTATTGAAGAATTCTTTGCAGTCTTGGGTGGACTCAATGACATTTCAGATAAAAAGTCCTACTCCTTCAGTCTGTTGGAAGAGAACATGACTGCATCAGATTTATGACACAAAACTGCATTTTAATCTTCTTTGGGGCAATTATAAAAGAAGAGGTGTTCACAGGAGTGGGACTAAGAAACCACACCAGCAAAATAATGCCAGATAAGGTACCATAATATTCACTGTCATGGGGGCATTTCATATTGGCAATGAACATGTCATTACTGCTACACAATCTTCCAATTTAGAATGCAACAGTATGCAGCACTGTTAACCTTATGTGAAATGCTCTTTAATAATGTCTAAAAAAAATGCAACAATCCTGTCAGCAACTTCTGCATATTACCGATGTCAAATAAATCTGCAAACACGATCCTGCAAGCAGACTTGAGTGCAAGCCAGTAATCGAGGTCAAACAGTAAAGAAGTTAAACAGATTTTGCACAACTTAACTGTTGCAAAGGATCAATGGATGCCTGTTGTAAACATTACATTAGCGAGTTGGAACGCTAGCATGCTCAGTCTATGTGGTCTCCCTCAGTAGGCAGGGGCTTGGCTGACAGCTGTGAGACTGACAGGCAGGAGGTAGCACAAAGGAACAGATGCACTGTGATGGTGGCGGCAGTAGTGGGGGTCTGCATCCTCCAGTAGCCAACAGCCACTTTACGGATTCTGCAAACTGGCTAACTTGCAGGTAGCAGCCAAACAATATTTGTTGTGGTCAAGAGAAATGTCCACGATTCTAACTAAAAGCATTATCACGTCTACCACACTTCGACAGAAAAGTAACTCGAGTTGAGGCAACGCAGCTTGTGCTTCGTAGTCAGCCAGAACATTTCAAAACAGGATAGCTACCAAAATCAACATTAGCACTGCCAAAGGATCTATCAAAACAAAACGCCTTGGAACTCTAATAAAACAAAATAATCACAACTCAACAATTTTCTAACGTATAGTTGACGTTAGCGTTCTATTACACGTTTATTTTCGTTAACGTTAGCTGAGCAGTCAGCTGCTTATGAACAAAACCATCAACGCTACACTGCCAAGAAGTTGTCTGCCTGAATCTTCCGAGCTAAGCGCGAAGCTAGTGTTACCACTTATGATAGCAGCTAAAATCACCAACGCTAGTTGCCGAACATTCGCTAACAACAATAGTCATGTTTTAATAGCTAGCTAGTTATGCTAACTAGCTTTAACTGTTGTTAGTTAGCTTTTAACGCTGCTACCCGTTCAAATAATAGGGAAGACAATTCAAATAACACAAGGAAGCGTTAGTATGTGTTATGTTAATGAATGTTAGTTAATTTCATTTGAGCCCGGAGAAGGGCGATCGGTTTGTAGGAGCAGATGTAAAAGCAACGGCACGGATTCTAATTCCGTGGCAACGGCCCAATCCTCGGACTCGACAAATGACATCCAGTTGAGGCCGTGCGCCTCGGCAGAGCAAAAACACACCTAGCTAGCTTGACTGGCTAGTCCGCTAGCTTCCGTTAACTCCCGGTCAACGATTAACGACGCCGTAGGTGGTCTTACAGCAGAGGATTTACTAATGTTATTGTTAATAAACGCATTTTTAAAAGTCTGACTTATAAAGACAGATATGTGATTATATTTACCTTCGGATGTTGCGTTCGAAGGGAGGGGAATGTTTTAGCTGGTTTGTGTCCGTGTCCGTATCTCTAGCTCCCCCTTTCTTCTCTCTCGCAGCTCCTCCAGAAGGAACTCGATTGGCTTGCCAGCTAGCTGGTGAGCTAGCTTGCTAGCTATCAACAATAATCCGGGTCGGACTGATTCGTTCTTCTTCCGTCACTCAAGGGTGAATGTTTCAATGTATATTCATGGGGAAACATTCGTTCTTCGGAGTTTCAGTCGGTCTGCGCCGACATAAACAATGAATGCAGCCAATTTCGACAGTAAATGAGAAATATGACGATTGTTGCGATCATCAAGAGGCTCTCCTCTCGTAGAACAAAATGCCGACCGGAAGTTCTGCCGTCTGACTGACCAAAGAACTCAGGAGTGACTCCCTCCATCGGCGCCAAACAAAATACCATGCACATTTTGTGTTTCTGCCGCTAGATGGCACCGTAAGACGGATTTACTTTCTCTGGCTCATTCTGACTTGGCTAAAACTGAAGAAACAGATTATATAAGTAGGCCACATAAAGAAATAATCATTAAAAATGTCTGATGATGAAACGAAACAAGAACCTATTAAGACTTAAAATGGTATACATCTCTTTGGGTTTCCTCTTGCATACATACAAAATTTTAATAATTCTATGATATATACAGTGTTATTTAAATATGTATTACTCCTATTACAATCATTTATGCTGTGTGTACTGAAGTTATATTGAGATCTTTTACTTATAAAATAGTAGGCTAAAAGATACTCCATTACAAGTAAAAGTCTAGATGTATTTAAAGTATCAAAAGTAATGGTAGGCTACTCATTATGCAAAATAACCATTTGCAGAGAGTTATTGTAACACTGGATCATTACTAGTGATACAAAAGTGAATACTCTGCTGTTTTCCTGTTCCTTTACTGACTTCTCTACTGCACTTTTGTTTTCTGTGTCACATTCAGGGCAACTTACAACTTATTCAACTGTAACTGCAGCATATGTGTTTGATCATTTTTTTGTTGTTGTTTTATTTTCATTTTATGTATTTTATTTAATTTTAATAATGCTTTTTCTTTATTTTGTCTTAAATGATTTTTTTTGTTTTTAATGCCAATTGATTGTAATGCTGTTAATGTTTTTCTTTACCAATATAGTTGCCTTTGTGTTTGAACTATACTATATAAATAAAGCTGCCTTGTCTTGCATTACTTACTCATTTTAATGGGTGATCATATATCTTGTTCATATGGCATTCAGCAAAGAAATTAGCTGTCATATAAATGTAGAGGAGTTAAAGTTCAGTACAAAATCTATTATAATATAAATATAAATTATCATAAAAGTATAAATAAGTGCCTATTCTTGAGTAGATGTTCGTAGATACTTTCCACCACTGTGTGTATGCCTGTGTGAATGGATGGATTCATATATCATCAGTATTTGTACTTTATACTCTTACACTAGTGCAGTTTTCATATTTCATTTGTAGCAGTCACATTTTTTACATTTAGAGTTTAAAATTAAATAAGAGTTTTAAAACAAGTAGTTTTGAAGATAAGGGATAAGCAACAGATAAACAATTTTATATGCCAACAACAAAATAAACTGTGTTTATGTGTAAAATATGTGCTTAATCTGCTCAGCACAAAAGGATGTCCTGACTGTGGAAGTCTTGCTTTTAAGAATATCAAATCATTGTTTGACCTGAAGGTGTCAGCAATGGCATTTGTTAAAAATGGTGGGCATTCTTAGTAAAATTGCTGACTGTGTAAGGCTGTATCCTGAGGGAAGATGGACTGTAAATAAAGGGTCCTGGTTTGAAGAACCAATTACAACAACTATAGCCAGGGTTGGTGGAGGAGGATGAGAACTGGTTTCCACTCCACGACCAACAACAATGTTACCTCAAGCAAGATAATCCTTCTGTCTACACTTGTTAACACCCCTATGTAGCTCTTAGACAGTAGTTCCCAGGCAGCTAATCTCTAATGACTACAAACCGTATGTGCACTAATCGAGGTTTAAAAACATTTAAACACATCTGCTCACTAACACATATTTATCTAAGGCTTAACTTAAAATTCACAGATTGTATGTTTGATCCTTTAAACATTCATGATAAAATGACACACGCAACCACTGATTTGATTTTTTTTATTCAAAATATCCATGCAAAATAAAACTATAGCTATTATTCAGGCATGAGTGTATGTGTGTATGTACTCACATGTGAATTAATGACAGAAATATTCATATTGAGCGAGATGCCAAAAATTGTAAACAAGGGAACTATTCCATTTTCTCAAGTGTATAAAGAAAATCATTTGGTTCAGTTTTACATCTGTACAACAAACAAGAGCAATTGTTAGTTTGGACATTAGGTTTGATAAGAGCACACTGTCTTTACATATGAAACCCTCAAGTAATCTTTTACAATTTAAATCTACAATTAATGTACACATTTATCTACATTTCTCTATACAAGTACAGTATATTCTGAAGAATCTACAAGGAAGCTTCTATATGTTCCATTTGTTATAATATACTGAATTACTTCAATTTTACAAATCCAAGCTAGCTAAAATAAAAGGAATGGAGTGAATTCCATTACTTATAAGCATGCATCCATATTAAATCAAATTAAATATATGTTAGATGTTATTAATTAGCCTTCTGGAAATGAAAATTGTCAAAACCTAAATATAGCCTAACAAACTTTAAAACTTTATATATTCAACCTACTGGTTATTTATTAATTTAATATTAATTTTTTTCTTGTGAATGTTTCACCTAAATAATTTTTAGTTCCATTTCCATGATATAGGGCTTATGCATGAATGGACTCATTTGCTGTTAGGTTTTATCAGATATAAAATCCTTGGTACCTACCTTTTGGAAAAGAACTTGATTATTGTACAGTAGGTTAGGTATTTGTTTTGGTCACTGTGACATAACTAAACTATACAGGAATTTGGATAATATTTTTGGTGCTTTTTTTGATTGAAATGTGATGGCATAAAATTCTGATTTAAGGAAATTTCAAATGCTCATCAGAAAAATTTATAAGAAAAAAAACCATAGCTGAGTGATCTTGGTTTTTCTGTCTTAATGATTGTAGTGATTGGTTTGAGGAATATGTTCAACAGCAACACATCACTGGATAACTGCTAAGATATTTTAACAATTTTGTTGGCTAATAATAGCCCTTAATGGCCTTAACACTTAAGGGACAAAAGTATTTATACCTTAAGGTAAATAGTTCATTTGTCCAGTTGAAGTCCATTCATCCATCTATCCATTATCTATACCAATCATCCTGAAGAGGGTCACACAGGGGCTGGAGCCAATCCCAGTTGACACTGGGTGAGAGGCGGGGTACACCCTGGGCAGGTCGCCAGTCTATCACATGGCTGACACTTAAAGATGGGCAACTACACACTTTCACATTCACTCATACGGGCAATTTAGAGTTGCCAATCAACCTAAGCTGCATGTCTTTGGACTGTAGGAGGAAGCCGGAGTACCCGGAGAGACCATTTGAAGTCTGTACACTAAATTATAGAAAATAAAGCCATTAATGTCTGTACAGAAGTTTGTAAATAGCCCTTCTTTCCCAAAAGAGGTTGGCCTGGTTACCCCAGTGTATGTGCATGCTATCCAACACTTTTCCTATCACTCTCCAGGTCGATTTTTAAGATGTCATGTACTTTCTTCACATACAACACAACTCAAACAAAACAAAAGCAACAATTATGAAACCAGAAAAGTCCATACAAGCATGGGGTGTAATCTGCTGCCATGTTAAGACTCACAGCAATACTGAGCTTTAGTGCCTAAGGTTTGTCATCACAGTTCTAAGAGGAGTTGGATATGACATGCAGGCCACTGACCCCCAGGCTCTAGAGTAGATCTGGTTTAATAGTAAACAGCTCCCATCCCAGCTCCCATCATAGCACAAACTCTTAGAAGAATTATGCAGCAGTGAACCATTTCAAGTCTACGATGTGTCAAGGTAACCCACACCAGACCTCCCACATTAGTGGAACTCATCTTGGTTGAAATATTTTCTAGCTGTACATACTTAATTTGAACATTCCAATCATGTGAGAGGAAGGTTTGCAAGTTAAGAAGAGGTTATTTGCAAATGTGGTTCAATGCAATGGTTTTTCCTAAGAATGTGTGCAACCTTGAAGAAAAAAAATCACCCTACATTTTGGTCTCACTGTTAGCAGGCCTCTCATTCTCATATTCATTCTCCTGGAGGACAAGTTGGTATGGCTTCATGTCTGCCTCCTCCACGACTGAGTTGCCCAACTCGGCATCCTTGTTCAGCAACTCGTGGCGAGACAGGTGTTCCACTATACCTGCACCAATGGAATCTCCAAGGACATTGGTGGTGGTGCGCAATCGATCCCTGAGGAAAGACAGGGAACAGATGAGGACAGGAGGTAGGGAGTGTAAAGAGAAGACAAAACATGACAAGATTACATGACAAGACAAAGCAAGACAAAAGAAGAGGAGGCAAGATGAAACAAGAGAAGATAAGGCAAACAAAAAGACAAGAAGTGAATACAAGAAAAATATAATAAAAGACAAGTCAAGAAGACAAGAAAGAAGATAAAACAACATAAAAAGACTCAAGAAGACAAGAATATGAAATATTATTGCTGAAATGCCAGCCCTGTTATCTAGCAAGACAGCATAGTGCTGTGTTTGTTAGCTCGAGAGCTAACAACGACTTCATCAATGCATTAAAGACAGTGCACCCAGACGCTGTTTTTATCATGGCAGACAACTTTAATCAGTGCAACTGAGGAGGTTTGGCATGTTGCCTAGGATCCTTTGCAACTTCTACGGCTGCATCATTGAGAGCATCCTGACCAGCTGCATCGCTGTCTGGTATGGCAGCACTACTGCTATGGACCACAAGTGCCTGCAGAGAGTGGTAAAGACTGCGGAGAAAATCACCAGGACGCCACTGGACTCTCTGCAGGGCATTTATCACCACAGGGTGAGTAGGAAAGCTGCCTCCATCCTCAAACACCCCACCCACCCCCAGCATGGACTGTTCATACCTCTACCCTCCGGTCGGAGGCTCAGAAGTGTGAAATGCAGGACCTCTAGACTGAAAAACTCTTTCTTTCCATCAGACTCCTAAACAGGATCCTGACTCAGGATCTACCTCATGTAATTCCATCTGTACTGTTTACATACTCAGTTTGCACATGCATAATTGCACACTCACTGCTAAATATTTGCACTTCATGGCTCCCATGTAACATATATTCTCTCTGCATTATACTGTGTTCTTGTTGTATTTTTATTTGCTCTTTCACTTGTTGCTTTAAAGTCCCTTAGATTTGTGTTACTGCCTATTTAGATTTGTGTTATTGCTCATCTACTTTATATTTCACTTGTATTGTGTATGGCGTCAGATCAGTGATCTGACGCCATAATTGTGCGGCATTCATATGGACGGCAAAGTAAGAATTTCATTGTACAAGGAAACATGTTTCCTAACTGTGCATATGACAAATAAACACTTTGACTTATTAAACAGTTTTAATGAATACACTGTCAGTTAAATTAATGTGGAAAGTGTACATAAAATATCATTAGAAAACTGGAGGCATGCTTTTTTTTATTGCTCCAGACTTCAGTCACCAAACCACATGAAACACTGGCAGTAGACAGGAGGAATTGCAATGGGATCAGCTGCCAGCTGAATAGAAGCCAGATAGACTGAAGGACATGGAATATGAAGCTAGTGTCTCTGGAAGTTGTCTTGTAATTCACTCAAGCATGTACACCACACCAATTTGATCTAGTAACCCCTGAAAATCCTCCCAGGTGGCACTTATTTTATCTCAAAAGAGACCATAGTTTATTTTTTTCATAATTTGTGATTTCATTCCTGTCTATAAGTGAACATTTTCCCATTTGTACAAAGTTTAACACATCATATAGCCAGTACTTACAGGAACCAATCAACAGCAATGATGAGTGTGATGTCATCAGTGGGCAGGCCTACAGATGTTAGCACGATCACCATTGTGACCAGTCCAGCCTGAGGGATTCCAGCTGCTCCAATACTGGCTGCTGTGGCTGTAATACTGAAATAGTGCAAAAAAGGCAGAAGTTGAGACATTTGGATGTATTTGAATTGTGTTGAAAAACAAATCATTCATTACGGCACAAATGAAAACAAGAAAGATATGGCCCACTCAATCATTCATCAAATGGGAAGAGAGTTAATTGAATTCATTCCCTTGGCTGGAACCTGCGGATTTGAGGATTGGAAATGTTTAATTTAGGTTAAGTAGTATTTCTTGCTATAATGAAAGTCAGATGTAATAGAAATATTCTCCTCTGCATCCCAAAAACTCTCCAAGCAGACAAGGTTTAATGATTCAAATCGTTATGGGTTCATTTAAGTTATATAAAAACATGCTGAATTAGATATTATAATTATAACATGCAAAACACTGAATGAATGACATCGTAATTAATGTTTATATTGCAAAGGTTGAAATGCTTCTGTATCTTGCATACCTGATGGTGAGAATCTGTCCAAAGTTAAGGTCATAATCATTGACCTGAGCGATAAAGATGGCTGCCAGGGCTTCATATAGAGCTGTGCCATCCATGTTTATGGTGGCGCCGACAGGGAGTACAAAACGAGTCACACGCTTGTCCACATTGTTGTTTTCTTCGAGGCATTTAAAAGTAATGGGCAGAGTGGCAGAACTGAGAGAGGATGGCAGACAAAGTGAGGGAGTGAAAAGAAGACGGGAGCAAGGTACAAGGAGAATGAGTTGATATTTGTTTTAACATGGATTACTCAACTGGGGAAAGCAACAGTTAGTTTTCTGTATGCCTTCAGTAATTCTTTTATCCTTAAATTTTTACATTGGTCTGTTTAGTCTTTTTTTATTGTACAAAATGAAAATGATACACTTATATTTGAAACTGTACTTCTTATACTTTATTTATTAAGGACACTTAGAATTTTACCTTCAGGTTACTCTTCTTTACTTCTTAAAGAAGAGTAACCAGTACTTCTTACTGTATTTTCATTGTCTTCTAAACCTGATTTTTTTCTGCTTTCTCTTATGAATGCTTCTCAGGAAGTGAAGTAACATCATTTCCTTCCTATGTATACTGAGCGTTGTATATGAGAGAATGACCTCCCTGGACCTTTTTTTTTGTCAGTCTGAGATTTTGAGTTGGATTTAAATCCTGTAACACTTAATCAAACCACTTACCTGGAGGATGTTCCCAGGGCAGTGATGAGTGCCTGCAACAGCCCTGCGATGAAAACGAAGGGATTCTTCCGGGTGATGACAAAGTAAAGCGTTGGCAGGACGACGATGGCGTGGATGAGCAGGCCACTAATGACTGTCACTGTGTACATTCCCAGCTGCCCACCCATGGCTGTTATGTCATCCATCTCCAAGATCTTACCGGCAATCAGGAACAAGATGCCGATAGGGGCATACCTGAGGATCAGTGAGGGGTCTTACTGTGAATTCATGCAATATTCCAAAATTCATTTAGCATTATCTCTGTTCACTCAACCATTCCTCCTTGCACTTACCACATGATTATGGAAACCAGCCTCATGATAGCTTCATTGAGACAGTCGAAGAAGTCCCTGAGGGGCTGTCCCTGTTCCCTCATGCCCCCAATGATCAGACCAAAGCACACGGAGAACACCACCAGGCCAAGAGCATTGATTCCATTAACAGCCCCTGGCACTGGGATCATCTCCTCGTGGGTTATCTCCTGGCTACCATTGACTGTGAATATTGTGTCATTCACTGTCATCTTCACATGGACGACTCTCTTGGCATACTGCGTCTTGAACTGAGTTGAAAATAAAGAGGATATATGAGCAGAGACTGAGAATAGTTGTTAATAGAAATTACATTTGATGACAAGTTCATATTAAATTGTTGATAGTATAAAGTTAATTTTCAGTGTAACAACATCTGTAGCAAGCAGTGAGAACTCTATTCTTGACTTTAATCAATGTAAAATAAGAACTTGAGTTTTGATGACAGTATGGTAAAATGAGACTGGACATGGAACCAGAGGACACAGCAAAGAATTACCTGTTTGGTGCAGGCTTCCACTAGGTTAGGAGGAAACATGTTTCTGTAAAACACAACAATACACTTATGTTAAGATTAACAAACCTCATGCATTCTATAAAATATTAAGGCCACTGTCTGATATTGATATGTATTCATTTCTTAAAAAGCATTCTTTCAGTTTGAACACCTCCATATGACTGGGACAATCAGTGATGGATTATGAATTTTAAATCTTGCTCACAGAAGCAGTGCGCACGAGTGCTCTTATGTTGTGTGTTTGGTTGTTCAGGCACATAAATGTGTGTGTTGGTACCTGATAAGATCCAGGAAGGCATCAGCAGGGCTGACCTGTTCTATCTGCTGCTGCTTGGTGAACTCATCCTTTGATCCTTTCCCAGGGTGAATAATGAGCACCATGACGATACCAATGAATACAGCAATGATGGTGGTGGTGGTGTAGTAGATCACAGCCCTCATACCCATTTTACCAGAAGCACGGCCGTCCAGAGCGGCCATACCTGCAAGGGACATATTGTCAAAATGTATATCTGTAGTTACATTTTTAACCACGTGTACCTGTACTCTTCTTCATATTATCTGAACCGCGAATTGACTTTCATGAGGTACTAACAGTTCCTGTACAGGGAGCATCAGTGCAGCAACAGTGATATCATCTTATTGCTATAGGCAGCTCCACATGACATCTTAACCACATTACTAATCCCAGATCCATATATGGATGTATACTAGATGATCATATTAAAATAGCAAAAAAATCAAATGTTGCCTACGCATAGTATCGTCTATAAAGTGAGAGCATATTTCACAAAGTAAAATAACCTCAGAATTGAATTAATTTAAAGAATTACTGATTCTATCTTTTCTCTATATAAAAAAAATCATCTTTATTCACACTGTCTGATGACCTTAGATTTTGCCTGTGTTGTTAACCTTTGCCACAGTGAGCATACACATTTCATAGCCTGGGAAAAGGTGCTCTCATTATCGTTGAAATACACCTGGATTATCCAAGTGCCTGTTTCCACATTTACTGGTGGAAAACCACTGCAGCTCTGATATACAAAATATGTTGACACTCTATTTACTATATACAGATAATTTATTCTGATGATTTTCTTTGTTTGCATCATTGTATTATCATTCACTCTTTTTTTATTTTATCATACAACAGAACCAAATAATTGAAGTGTGATGTCATTTTGTTGTGAACACAGTGAGCAGAAAGAGATGTCAGTAACAATTTGACCTGAACTGAATATTTGTGTTATGGAAGAAAATATACAGCAAAGATGTATTTAAATTCGAAAAGGAAGAATAAGACATATAAAGCCAAGGCCATCACATAAAAAGTAACTAAAAAAGACAGAGGCTGTGTTTCAGCATGAGTCAGATAACAAAAATAAACAGCTGGTGATTAAGTTACAAAGAAACATGCTGTTCCCTTCTACATTCTAGTAACCTTTGCATTCTTACAGGAACCATCAGATCCTATCAGATTATACATAACCTAAATATTTAGAATTTTTCTTTTACAGGCCTGCAAAAAAGTAAAAAGACAAAAACTATTTTGTATCATATGAGACATAGCTTGCAAAATGCTGGTTCACAGTTGAGAATTAATATTCCATGAATGCAGAAAAACTGTTTTATGTGAGGTAGAGAAACGTTTGGTCCCAGAGCCTGGGGGCTAAGCTGTCCTCCACAGCTCTAATAGCATTAAACAGACTTTGTAGGGATAATGGTGGTAAAAAGAAATACAGCCATTCACAGAAATGGGTTTGGAAACAGACAAGCTGCCTCAATGGGCATGACCGTGGTGCTGTATTTTCAAAGTGTCAGGTCCTATTATAGCCATTCAGAGCTGCACAAGGCAACACAGGCTTTGTGTGATAGGAGATGTATGTGTTTATATGGGGCACTTTGACACGGTGAATATCAGAGTGTGTGAGTGTGTACTAGTGTGTGCGTACCTACTTTCCCTGCTTTGGCTCACTCTCCTCTTGTCTCAACATGCCCAGGACTTTACCCAGTTCTTTTTGATCCTCTTCCTTCCCTCCCTCATTCCTCTCTCCAAAATTCTCCACTCAGCTACCTCGTTTCAGGGTGCCCCCTAGTAACCCCGCTCCTGTTCTTGCTCCTCACATACCCCCATCTTGTCTCCCTCCTCTTTTTCTGCACGCTGATCTTACTGCTGCAATCCTCTTTCATTAACCCCCCTCCCCAAACAACCTTGCCCCCCTTTTCCTATTCCCTTTCTGATAGCCCTGGGAAAAGTTGTTGAATTTGTAAGCCCCCCCACACACACACACACGCACACACACACACAATGATCCCCAGTCTGTTGTCCAGGCAACAACAGATGCAGCCTCACCAATTCCATCCAGAACGAAAGCCCCAAGACTGAAGGAGAGCGGGGAGAATGACTTTCTTTCTCATATGAGGAATGTTCATCAAACACAAAAGTAGTCCGACTTCAGGGGGGAGCATAGTTGCAACTGTAAGTGGTCTGTCCAAAGGGCAATTAACATCCACCAATGCTGGCAAAGACCAACTCCACAGTTTTAACAAGACAGTCAAAAAATACCTCCATGTGTTCTGTGGAGTTGGTGAGTGTCTTAAAAAAATTGCAACTCGGCTGGAGAGCTGCTTTAATTTTTTGTAATTTCCCCACTATTAGGATAGAGTTAACATTTTACTCATGAGATGATTTCTGTGTCTTTTGTGAGGTACAGAGGTGGATTATAAAGCAGCAACAAACTTGTGGTTCCACTTTTGATATACTTGCACTTTATTTAAATATCTCTGTTTTCCAGAGATTAATTTAAATATAGTAAAATCATATTTGTTAGGTTGGTACTTTATATGTGTTCCATGCAACAACTGGTCACATATCCTGGTCATAGGTCAAGAATAGCTGAGACATCTGAGACACTTCCTTACAACACAGTGTATGCATATTTTAAACATCACCTTACAAAGTAGGAGAAGAAGAGTGTGAGAGAATGAACGTTTATGTTTCATGTATGTGTCTAAGTTGATCTGACTATATTGCTGTTAATCTCACTGAAGCTCATCAATAAATTGAAATAGGAACATTTGAGTCTTGGTCGTCCTTTTAAGGGTTGCTTAGACTGAGATGCAAAATTCATCCTTTCACTAGTATATGAGGCACTTCAATCAAAGTATACAACCAGTGCCACCTGGACCACTCCCATCACAAAACAGTAATTTAACACTGCAAGGGACCAATCTACTGAGAGACAACTTTTACTTTACATTTTACTTCCAGCTACATTTTTAATTTGCTATACTTGCTTTATTCTCCTTTCAGTATTTTCCTGAATTTACCCCTTCTCTTGCTCTTGCCCTTGACTTCCTTCCCCTCCTACATTCATACTGCCCTTCCAGTGGCCTCCTCTGTAATCATCCCCGTTTTCCTCTTTTTACTACCCACATCCCTTCTCCCTGTCTGGCCCCTTCAAAGTAATTTCCTTTGTGTTGCACTCTGTGGTGTACTCTCAGCTGTCATAATGAAATGCCTGTTGAGAGCATGGGTTTTGCATCCAACATTTGCTGCATGGCTAGTTTGAAGTGGGTGCGTGAGGGCAGTGAGCATACATTAAAAAGAGATATAGCAAGATAAAAAAACAGAAACAAATGTAATGTTAAATTAACTGGATCAGTGAGGATCCTGGAGCTATCAGCTACCCATTCTCACTTTCTCATAAAAAAACATTAGCCTATTTCTCATTTTCTTTGATCCTCGGTTATCCTGTCTGCCTGTCCACTGGTTTCCCTTCATTTAATATCCTCTGGGGACCCCCTGGACTCTGCTCAAACTTTTAGATTCCTAATTCAACCTCCCTTCTAGATAGGATCAAATTTCAGAGGTGAGCCCCTTTCAACTACGTCAGTCTTGAGAATGTGACAGGCAATTTGATCAGGGGCTATGGGTTTGTGGAGCTTAGCTGTGACATGCTTATCCTCTCAAATATGTTATTTTGTAATTTGTACTCCAAGTCATGTATAGCAATCATATAAAAATAGAAATCTGCAATTACACTTAGGCTTACAGCTGCAGAGGTTATAGTTTCAGCTGAAACCTGAAAAAACTGTGATAGCAAAAAAGATTAAGTTGAGTCATATATATATACAGTATACATATATCATATATTATGTAATAACTGTTTTCCCCACGGCAAGTAAATAAGAAGACTAACAAACTATCCACTGATTCTGCCTGTTCTATTGTTTTGAAAGCCAAAATTTCTCTAGGACAGCAAAGAAAAGTGTGTCAGCCTGTGCTGCCACTTTTCACAGTTATCATTAGAATTTGAAACATGTCCTGGCAAATTAGCTAAGATTTTTTCAAACTAATGGTGTTGCACAATAAAATAAGGTATGTTATTAGGTATGGTAGTGCAGTATAGACTTGCTAAATCAAGCTGCACAATAAAATTACTTAAATTCTAACAAACTAAACATATAAATTATTGGTTTAAGAGTTTTTGACGCAGTAATGTGTGTTATCGGTAGTAATTTAGGAGCTGACTTTCTAGTGACAGCTTTATAACAGACAACAATGCATCTGATGGCTTCGATAAGGGCACATATACAAAAGCCAAGAGCTTCATGACTTAGTTACAGAAGAGCGCCCCATATGGATTCTCACATGTTGTTGTTGCGGTCATGTGACATGATGTCAGAGAATGCTGATGTTACGCCCCGCTGTGGCACAAAGCCTGTTATTGTCATACAACATGTCTCTGAAACCTCCCTACCATCCAGCCAATCACTGCTCTGAGACTGGACGTGTCATCTCAGTGCTGCCTCCATTTATCAGTCAGTGCTGGTGACTAGTATTTTTTGAAACCTACATGTTCTATAACTCTGTTTATACTTTTTATCTCAATAACAAATAGAAGCTGTCCTCAGTAATAAACCCACAGGTCTTTGCTTCTGGAAAAAACATTCCTTTCTGACTGGGTTTATGAACCACATCAAAAGGGATGAACAAACGTATTACTTTGTTGGATGACAACTGAAAACCTCAGTGTTTGTAGTTTTACAGACCCAAATACATGTGAGTAGCAAAGGGCACATGGTTGCTTATTCAATTAAAGCACAATTAAGCTGGGACTGCTTTGGTCATGTTCTATCAAGATCAAGCCTGTTACACCATAGGTCAAGCATGTGATTGAGACCAGTACTTAGTTTTATATGATCTCTCTCGGTCTGTTTCTCTCTCTCTCTCTCTCTCTCTCTCTCTCTTTCTCTCTCATGAGGTCAACTGCATGCATCACTGGGCCCAGAACCAGCAAACCACACTGGCTGAATAAACAGATGGTTCACTCTGCCACTCACGATGTGCATGTTGGTCAGTGGAGCCACAGAACAACGAGCAATACCATCACTGGCATGCACCTTGAACCTTATAGAGAGAATGCATTACCTCTGAAACTCTTTCTATTTCCACATGTGAAAATGATGTTGTATTGTGCCTTCACTTCGGTCTAGTAGTGATACAGTATGAGGGGGCAGAGTGGTAGGGGGTGGATGGGTTTTTGACTGGTCGGGGGCTATTTCTACAGCTGCTACAGTATCAAATGTGAAGAAACCTGTGGAGATACAGTATGTTGAGCATACAGGAACAGAGATAAGTTGTAGATGTGTGGGTACAAAAAACTGTTGTTGTGGTATTAGCGGAATGCTCTAAGTTATAGGCTGGAACTGTCAAAGAGGTGCTTATTTTAGATATTTGACACACATTCAAACTTAAAAAAGCCACTGACAACGACACTTTATTTATTATAATGATGTAACACCCACATGGGAGTGCGGTGTGTAAAATCTGGGTGTGTAGAGCATTGTCACAGTTATTAGCTAATCATGTGATGCAATTAATATATTGTTTTTATTAGATTCCTATATATTTGACCTAATACAGTGTGTTTATTAGTGAGACCTTTGAGGCCTAGCAAACAAGTTGAAGAAAAAGTGTCATATGAAAATTTCTAAATCTTGCTGTTTCTTTGATCAAGTGCCTTGCTAATAAAATAAAATAAAAAAGAGTAAAAGGTAAATTAACTAAATTAATTATTATAAGGCTTTAAGTTTGGTGTCCTCGTGGCACTAAATTGTCCAGATGTTCATACCTGTGATGAGACTGGAAACCAGCAGGGGCAGCACCCCTCACGGTACGACATTTTGTAAGGTCGTAGAGTAAATCCCAGTATGATACCTGCAGTGATGAACACGTGTGGAAGGAAAACCTTTATTACAGTTTCAAATTGTTTTTATCTTTATATCAACATGACAAACTGTAAGTGGGTTCCAGATTTGACACCAGTACTTGGACTTAACCAAATTACTGCAAAATGTATTATATTTATGAATGAATATTGATGCCATAGCAATACTGTATTAGTTTAAAAATAACACCAGAAAGCTGAAACATTGACTTTTTACCCCATGACTACCTGCAACCTTCTGAGTAAGAGCATGAATTGTGTTTACTCATATTTTCACAAATAAATGCAGTGAACTCATACCTACTGAGTAATAATTCTGAAGAGATGGAGCTACACTGTGAAAGGTAAAAACATGTGACTGAGTGATCATCGCTGGGACTACGCCCTTACTGGTGTTTTGACCGAACAGTGGGGGAGAATTAAATTTATCAATAATAATATCAGTGACTGTGCAGACTGTCACTTCCACCATGGTCATTTTTTTAAAACTTTATTTTCTTGTTAAAATTTCTTCACTGTCAGTGAAATCTATTCTCTTGTCCACCAACAAGCCCAGTACCCTGATTAATGCGCAGGGCCTGGCTTACTTCCTACTGAGTAGGATTCACAGGTTAATGGCAAAAGGGCAAAAGTCAGAGACAGGGTCAGGTAAAAGCCAAGTCATGTAAACTCTTCCTGTTTCTATTCTTTCACTTCTTCCATCCTGCTACCAGGGATATTGATGGATTATTGGGGTGAACCAGGAAATCTGTTTCTTTCTTCTTTACAAGGTTAAATAGTGGAGGGGTAGTAGAACGGCTGATGGAGAGGAACAAATAAAGTGTCTTCCAATAGTCTCCAGTTTTAAACAAATTAAACTAAAACAGCATCTAAAGTGAAATCAATGCCCCGCTCCCCCCCCCACACACACACAAAATTTTGCACTTACCAATAATAACAGCCGCAACGGTAAATATCACAAAAGCATTTTTAATGAAGCATCCCTTCACATCTTCCTTTGTGATGTTCTCCACTCTCTTCTTGGCCAGCTGTGAGTGGGACTGGATCCTGGCTCGGATCTGGTGGAGACCACTTCGGGTCCTCGATGGGTTCTCCCCATTTCTTTGAGTCATAGCTGATGCAGGAATATGTGTTTTTTATGTGCAGGATGTTGAACTCCACTAAACTGTAACAGGAATACGTAATGATGCTGCTAAATCCCTCGACCCCTGTTGGCCTTCCTCCTCTCTGCCACACTTCTCCTTTGGTTTTAGGTGCAGAAGTTGCCTGATTAAGAAGAAGGGACAAACAGTAAGAGTTAATAATATAAAGGTCTGTGTATCACTGCTCTGCTACACTGCACTGTCACTTAAACCCTCTTTACACAGTATACAGCACATACAAAGTTATAAATCAAGTAATCTAAAGTTATAAATCTAAAATATGTTGAGATAGAAATGCATCCACAAGCGAAGAACACTTGTGCTGCCAACACAGCTGTGAAGGCATGCACACTTCCTCACACCCCCTCTACACCCACACACGTGGACAGTGCTGCAGAGTCAATGTTATACTGATAAGATTCACAGATCGAGTCTCACACGTATGCAAACACACACAGATACAGTTACTGATCAAATAGTACAATGAAAATGACATTTTAAATGGTAAAATGGAAGTTGTTTCTGTACCTTTAACTTTGAGTAATAACTTCCTTTGGAGTAATTAGTTTTTTTCCGGGGAAAGTTCCTGTTAAGAGTGATCACTGTGAGAGGGACAGAGGAGCTTTTGGCTGTGAGCTGGTTGGTGTAAGCAGCCAGCAATGAAAAGAAAGAGGAGAAAAAGAGGTGAAGGGAGGAGAAAGGAAAGGAGGGAGCACTGCCAGGGAGGAGGGAATGAAAGAGCCAGTCAGAGAACGGAGGTGGTGCTATAGTAGAATAAAAACTAGTCAGTCACATAGTGTGGGCTTGTGGGGAGGTGCGATGGGGACTAAAAAAAGTGAAGGAAGGTTGGTGGGGGGCTTTCAGACAGAGGGGAGCTTGAGGAATAATCAGCTTTCCAAGCTGGGGAAAGAGAAAGGACCTTCTTGTTTTCTTGTGTCCATCTCAGCCTGCCTTTCAAAACTTTTTTTCACACTTGATAAGTTCAGCCTGATTGGAGATTCCTGTGGAGCATGAATCAACAGAGAAATAAAAGTCCATCATCTATCAAAAAATATGGAACTGAATTAGCCATTCATGTATTTAATTTGGCACATCTTCAACTGACACACTTATCAATCTAAGTTAGCATTCTTTATCTGCATTTTAGTACATTACACATATACACCATGCAAAGTCAACTTAGTCATCATCATTTGTTAAATTAAAAAGAACAGACAAATATTTACTTAGTGCCAGTGGTGCAGCTGGTGTTGTGCAACTTTTAGCTAACAATCTGTGTGACACACATTTTATTTCTGTAGGTTCTTAGCAAAAGAGCTGAGTACTGTGCTACTGGTTAGCTACAGGTTTGCCATAAAAACCATAACAACTAGTGTTAGCACAGGAAACAGTGGTTAGAAAATACAACTTTTTCAATGGAGGATGATACAAACACAACTCGGCTGATGACTAGCGGTTTATTTTGGCTGGAAAAATCAGGAATCCACAGTTTGTCTGATATGGTTAGTGCCAAAGGCGTGTGAAAGTAAGAGAGAGAGGAAAAGCTGGAGGTGTCCTTTGTGATTTATACAAAGGGAATCCATGTTTGGCAGGGAGGTTGTACAGTAAAACGTCTCAGCCATCAGCCCATACACACACAGAACCTCATGATCTCAGTAAAATTATATAACCCCTCTGACTGTGGTGTGTTTCTTGTGGACAGAAAGGAGGTGAATTGTCAAGAATGATATCTGAAAACCTTTTATGGGAGTTCTGAACAGGAACTGTGCTTGCAGAGAGAGTTCACTCAAAAGAAGCAATGAAACATTCTTACCCAGAATTTTCAGGATCCACTCACATAGTCTGGATTTGCTAAAATGTGGAGATAAGAGCTGCAGATATGTCAACACAATGGAGCTCACATTTGCATTTGGTTTGTGTAATTTAAAGCTCTAAATATTGCAAATATAGCAGTACTGCTACCAATTAGCAGTGGTATATTTTTTAGTGGACAGGAATTTTTGACTTTTGTTTTGGAATTTTGTACAGCCTAGAATGGTTATGTTTAAAATACATACATAGTGCAGTAAACATGAGTCTCAAATGTCTCACCTATTCCTGGCCAGTCGCATATAACCACCTGCTGTTGCATGCCACATATATTAATGGTGCAACCCTGAACTCATGTAAAAAAAGAAAAAGACACAAGTATGTAACATAAGTTACTCACAATAATCCACAGACCATGTTGTGAACTGTTTCTTCCCTTTGTGTAGAGAATAATAAGTAGCTGATAGCAAAACTTTGATGTGAGAAATTCTTGATGAGAGTAACCAGATTGTCTGTATATTATTGTAAATGTGCCAGTCTGTTTGGAAAGACACTTTTCTGTTGAGAATCCAAAATGTATTTATTTATTGCCACTTTGATCACTACAGACTCAATGGCACTGAGGTCCACTGCAATGTATATTGCTGACAGAACCAAATTTTGACAAATTATAATACAAATACAGTACCTTGTTGCACAAACAATGGGGTAATAGGTTTGCCCATGATTTTTGTACTTTTAAATCACATGATATTTTGTTTCACATATGGGGCATTGTAAGTATCAAATGCTCATAACAAATACCCCACTTATTTCTTATAATATTCGATTGCTTCACAACTTTGTGGTGTGACATAAAAGGTCTCAAATTTTTGATGCATCTCCATGGCTTTGTACATATGTTCTACTGTCATTATTATTTTGCTCAAACCATTGCTGTGCTCACAGCACACGCCAAGCACAGCCTCACAGAGCTAGTTAGAACAATTTTATTTAGTCCTTTAAATCACAGAATTGGCACCACAGTCTTCATAATTTCTATTGTCTCTCACACAGGTCAATTTAACTAATTGTGCTACTAATTTAGATTAATGAGTGGAGTAGAGGTGGACTTTTTCAAGGCACAGTAACAGGTCTTTGAGAGCCAGAATTCTTGCTGTTTCTCAGGTGTTCAAATACTTATGTTCAGCAGTGCTAGACAAATAAATTCTTTAAAAATCATACAATGTGATTTCCTGAAATTTTTTTTTACTTCTGTCTCTCAGAGTGGGAATGCACCTACAATGTGAATTTCAGACCCCTCCATGATTTCTAAGTGGGAGAACTTGCAAAATCGCAGGGTGTTCAAATACGTCTGTTCTTCACTGTATATCCAAAAGGAAAAAGTCAGCTGCAAAAGTAACATGTGGTTTATTATAATGGTGTATAATTAATAGAAATTTACATTTAAAGTCTGAAAACAGGTACGAACTGCAGCTCAAGATGTTTGTAATCTGAGAGCAAACACTCTGAGCTGTTTTCTTTCAACCACAGTCATTATTCATAATAAATGGAGCAACAAAGAAGAAAAGAGTTACTTGTGAAACGATTGGATTATTGAGATGCTTAGAAAACCATTATCAGTTTTGACCAAACAAGCAATTAACATCTGAATTGAAGGGAAGGAGAACACATAGTGTGTTGTGATCATCCTCTGTCATCCCTGGGGCCTCACAAACACTGAACAGCTCCTCTCAACACTTTGGTCTGAGGACTTTAGTCTGAGCCACTGGGTTATTAGTGCACAGATGAGCTGGCACGGTCAGAGGCTGTCTTCTCAGGACTGCAAATCCCAATACATCAATGTTGTTATAACATTTATTTAGATAAAGAGACACTGATGAAAAAGTTATGACATTTATTTGGATAAAGAGACACTGATGAAAAAGAGGTTGGTCCAACATGGACCACAAAACCTTTTTAAAGACTCTCTGACAACTCAATATAATAGTTGTATTTAATCACTGTTATAAAGAATATAATACATGTAATAGTTTCATTGACTCAAAAACAGATATTACTATTTATTATGTCTCAAAAATAAGATCCTGAATTTACATACATATTTAAACACAATCGTTGTTGGTATTGTAGTGGTCTGTTTTCTTTTAATGGCTGAAAAGCACTATTGTAAGTGAGCTCCACATTAGATTTTATCAGTGGACCTAAGAAAGTGGTAACTCAAGTGTTTTATTTGGTGTTTTAGACTTAAGACTGAAGAGGGTTTTGACAAAATGCTCTCTCCACATTAATGAGCAGATTTACATGCTGTTTACATGTCATTTAAATTCATTTAATTACATTTAGCTAATGTACAGATAAGTGTGAGTGGGGCAGTCTGTCCTTCCAGACCAAACTGAGGTGTAAAAACACTGGCTTGTTCCATCAGCTGATGTAAAAAGGGCTGAGGACAGAGACATTACTGGACATTGAACAAGCAGCTAACATGACAGCTCCCTCTTCTGTACTAAGATCAGTTATTTTGTCTTTAACAAGAATATATTTCCTACACAAATCTTTGAAAGTTAAAATAAGAGTTGCCATTTTCACGCAAGCAAACAAAATTATGTGAATGTTGACATCCACATTGGTCAGCAGAACAAATGTTAATGCTTCACCACAACCTATAGGCAAATTATTTTTCATCATCCTTTTGAAAAAACTTTGCCAGAATTCTCTTGGAACATTATGTGTGACACAAATTGTGACAGGACAAATCTCGGGCTTTCCCTTTATTAAACCTAAGCTCATTTGGAAAGCTTTACCATAAATCAGGATCCACCATTCCTCACCCTCACCGCAATGACCCACATGGCATCTGTCACACAGCTATCCCAACTAGCAACAACAGACAACAGGCTCCTTTGTCCTCAGCAGGCAAAGCAAGGGATCGGCTGATGGGGTTGGCTGAGGAGTGGAAGTTGTAAATGGAAGAAAAAGAAAATAAATCAGGGAATAAATCACAGCTGGTGGGCAGAAAACGTGTTGTCTTTGGAGTGAGTTTGTACTCTGACACAAAATTATTTAAAGCAGAGCATTTTTATGTTTCTTAAAATGTGTCTGGAGGTGCTTTGATGATTTATTTAAAAGTTAAAACTTGGCCTTTGCTGGGAATAGGCACATGGTTAAAGTTAGGGTAAGTTGGCAAGGAACAAAAGTAAGTCAGTGCAACATCTTCCTGTTCATTTATCTTCCTGTTCATTGATCCTGTTCACAAACACCCATAAAGCAAAGTTACAGATCGCAGGAATTATGCATGTGATATGTTTTGCATTAGCTGGGTCTGACAAACAGCAAGTTTACCTTAAGTTTTGCTGCATTGTTTTTCTCTCACCCAACTTGTCTGTTATTGCAAAAGGACCTGAGTTTGGGAGACTACAGTGCCTCAAATACTTCAGTTAAACGTCTGGTCTCAGTTTTGTTAAATTAGGATCAATTACAGGAGGAATGTGAAACAAAATGGTTTTATGTGTTTCCATCTTGATGCGACAATCGGTTTATTCACTGTTGACCAGGGGAGCCATGTGGTTTTAATGCTATCATATGTTCTGCTGAGATTAACATTTGAACAGATCAAAGTGGAGAAACAGATCTTGGCAGACATAGTGGCCAAAACCTTCAATTATGGAAAATGTATTGCATTTGGACATGATTTGTTTTAGCCTCCTTACACAGACAGATTTTATATACAAATAACCAGAGGCTATGCCCTTAATCTCTGCAGCACTGAGTGTGTAACACTAGTTGACCGAAGCTGTTCTGCCAGGCCTGTCGTTTCTGATGGGAGTGGTCAGCTCCCAGAGGGCTAATGTATCCAGAACAGGTTATCAGATCTGCAGTTTACAGTAGCCCTCTGGGGACACACAGAACTGGGGCCACATTGTTTGCCGGCATTATTGTGCATGAGGGTTTCCCATGGATCAAATGTTACAGACTTCAAACCCAGGGCTCTCAGCGCACTCATAGCTGTTGTTTAATGGACACGATGGGAGATGAGGCTGTTCACACACAATTTTATCACTCATCTGAGTAACCGGATGTGGTCCCACTGGCTCGTCGTTAAGCTGTGCAGAACGAAGGATAAAACCATCAGGGCTGAACTCCTTGGACAAAGAGAGTGAGTAAAGACAACAGAAGAGGCCAAGGAAGTCTAAGCACTCAGCAACAGTAGCAGACTGGGCTTAGAGGCAGAGTTTACCACTGGAAAAACAAGCTTCCCCTGCCTACAAACAAAAGTTCTGTTCCACGCCACTGATGTGACTGAGCAAAAAGACAAATGAGACACCTCTGAAAAGACAGAAAAATGTGGACTTATTCCTTTTAATATAATATAACTAAAACAGTTATATATTTTCCAATCATCCCAAGGGTTGTAACATTTGATGTGTTTTCGTAGATACAAACATTATTAGATCATGCACACATTTTATAGCATGCCAACCTCCAGTGGTGGAAAGGTATCTGCAGTGAATATTTATAGTGACTGTGTTCATCTGGAAAGCTCTTTTGTAACTTATATATGTGTATGTGTACATTTTTGCCTTTGTTTTTTTACTTGTGGTTTTGGGTTTATCCTGTTTTTACATTGCTGGGCATATTGGGGGCCATTGGGCTGGAGTCATATTCCGTGTATTTTTGATAGTACTTGGCAGTAAGGTTTGTGCTTATGCCTATGTACTTGTAGAGTAGATCAACAGGATATTGGACATCTGAGTGGGCCCGGCTCTTAGATGTGCTTGCCTACCAAACGAGTTGGACCAGCCACCCTGAGCAAATACAGTGCATATTATGCCTAGTCTCCAAATATCTGCTCTTTGCTTGGGTAAAGACAGTCTTTAGGGATGCTTTGTATTTAGGGCAGAGTGGAGAATTTTTCTGATACCCACCTCTTCAGGGCCAAATAATGGGTAAATAGCATTTAACTTCTATAGGAATGGTCACCCATTTTTATCAGCTGTTCACACCACAGTGATGGAAAGGAATCTGGAAAGGATATTTATTCAGTACTGAACATAAATATAATGGCTGAAAATTGTTTGTTTTCAGTGTTCAGATACTTATACTTTACTTGGGTAAAACTCTACAAAAAGCTAGCGTGACACACCTACTGTAAACAGAAGTGAATCATCTCAAGTCAACATTAAAACAGCAACAACAGAAAACATTACAGTGCAAAATAAAAATAAAAATAAAGATAAACTATGTTTCACTGACAGAACTGTACTTAATTATCTGTACTCAACCTGAGTATAATGGTAGTAAATTTAAAGTATAATTAATTTGAGAGAGAACACAGCTTTGGTACAAGGTATGAGTTTCCCAGGTGATCTGTGCCCAGTGGCGCCTAGGGGAGTGACTCGAAATATGACCGAGTTTTTGTTGTGATGTGTTTGAGGTTCTGAGATTAAAATATGACACCCTCCTTTTTTGTGCCATAACAACTAGACAAGGAAGTCAATCTCTATAAATAAAAGATAAAAGTGATAAATGATAACAGAATGAAAAGAAGGCAATAGCATAAAGGGGACACAGCTAGTAGCTCACATCATCACAGCTTGTTTTCTCACCACCTCTGAGCTCTGTGGGCCTGAACTTTGAGGTGAATAACCATCAGGATTTTTTCTTCAGCTGAGTCCTGTGTACTGATATCCTGTGATCGATGGCATGCCTCTGTAGAACCTGAGTGTATGAGTTCCTGTTTAGATTATGTGCAAAATAATCATCATATTCAGACTCTCAGTCAACACTATTATCAGCGTCACTATCAGCAGTGCACCTGTAATTGTGTTAGTATATGTTATACTATGTTCATGCAATGTGTTGTTATATTTTATTTCTGCTATTTATTTATAGTTTGAATGCTTTAAACTCAAAATTGTCTTTGCTCTAAGTTAGATTCACTTCTACTTCATCTTTTTTGAGCTGAGATGCTGTGTTTAAAGACAGGAACATTATCTCCACCTAGTGGTGGTAACTGTAAGAATCCCACTCTATCCAGTACAGCAACATGTAACCAGACAGGGTGATATTATCAGTAAAAACTTCAGTGACACTGGACAACAGCAGATATAGTGCTGGATCATGATAAACTATACTGGAGAGAATATCTGTCACCACAAAACAACAAATTCTAAAGGCTTTACACAAACAGTTTGGTGGGACATTAATTCAAGTTTTCATTGTGAGTTTGCACGTACCCATTTCTTCTCACAGTCCACAGACATGCAGATCCAGTTAGATACAGCATCAATTTATATTCTACAACTTAATGAAGAGCTAACTCTCCATCAGATAGTTTTATCAGTGACAACATATAATATGATATAATTAGGACATTAAGACCTGAATGTTTATACAACTTCTGACACTAGTCCAAGAGAGACAGAGAAAGAAGGGATTAAGGTAGGCTGACAGATGGCCAAACTAAACACCTGCCAGTGTTGCCAGGTTTTATCTGCTCTGTAACCGTTTGAATCAGGGCGATTATCCTAGCACTGCAGAAGCAAGACGAAAGCAAAGTGACAAAGACCATCACAGATAGACCACCACAAATGCTATGGACTTCTCCTCTGGTGTGATTTTGTAAATGATAACAATATAGGATTCATTTGGTCATGCATGTGAACCCTAAACAAATTTATAAACCAGATGGAGGACTGGCCAGATTTTCTAGACCTTTTTGGGTCAGTTTGGATGGATGGTCTGGACGTGTCTGGAGCAACTGAAGACTGGTCTATTTGTCTGAACCTTGTAGAGCATCTGTGTCTGGATTTGCTAAGCCAGGTGGATTTTTTATTGGACCACTGGTCTGTGTGCTTCGGCGTGCTGGGCTCACTGTACACTGACGAGCTGTATGTATGGATGCTCCTCTACAGCTGAAATGGAATGAAGAAGCTTTTTTTTTCAGAAATAATTCATCTTTGCTGGCTGGCAGGAATTTTGACATGAGGTCAATCCAAAGCTGAACCAAAGTTTTTCAGATAAAAATAAATAAAACAACTATACACGATCAATAATTCTTATTGGATGAAACATGATTTTATTTACCTTACATAGAGCACCAGCAACGCTGCAGAAAAATCATCTGTCTTGTGTATCAAGATCAGGAATCATGTATTTTTGACCCCTGCTGGCAACTGGAAACCTGTGCTGAATTCAAAAGTTTGGAGAGCAACATATGATTTAATACATGCACGTTACATTGTGGAGACTGGCAATGATAAAACACCCTTTTGTATATGGCTTCTTTTTTAAATGTATTTTTCATAATATTGTTCAAACTGTTTTTTAACAAAAGAAGACAAGGATGAATGGCACAATTACCATGTGTACCTTTAGGACAGACACTCATGATGTATGTGAAATGCATTGCTGTCTGGATATTTGATCATAAAAATTGTTATTTTTGTTTTAAAATTAAATAGGTTTGTGTCTAAACCAAAATGTAAACTGGAAGGAAGCTATCAAAAGCCACATGTTGAGGGTGTGCCACCTGCACAGGGTGTACCCTGCCTTTCGCCCAATGTCACCTGGGACTGAATCCAGCCCATGGCGACCCGCTTCAGGATGATTGGTATAGATAATGGATGGATGGATATAAGTGTGCAGCTGTGTGTCCACCATGATAAACATAATCACTTTTCTCATTCATTTTATATTTTGTTCGATAATAAATGACTTAAAATGTCATGCACTAGTATATGAAACCCTGTCTTAAGAATTAAGATCTCTATCATAAAATATAAACTGTGTACTGTACCAAAGAAAGTGGTCTGGCTGAATGTGAAATCCAGTATAAATATAACATTATTTAAATAAAAATAAGTGAAGTAAATAATCTTAGTTGTATGTCAATCATGCCAATTCACCCATTCTTGTTCTAATTAGGGCATGGTGGATCATCAACAAATCTACTTAAGAGCAAATTATTGCCATTATTATTGTTGTTGTTGTTGTTTATTCGATTCTATTTTAATCTGTTTAGATCATTAACCTCTCTCCGTGCTACCTTCCACTGCCTTTAGCAAATTATAAATTCCATAATCAGTAGTTGAGACTTCAATCAAATGCTTTGAGTTTGAATTAGCCAAAAAACAAACAAACAAACAAACAAAAAACGCCAAGTCGTACGTACCGACATTTTAACGTTCTCAGTCAATCTTGAAGAATCGCTTTGTGCTTCGGGGGTTAAATGTGTGTTTATTTCACCAATGAAATGACGCCCCCAAACGCCATTTTTCCTACAGCACGCAGAGGCAGCGTCAGACTGTCCCAGAAAAAGACTCTGTTTGTATAACTAACGTTATCCATAAGAGACAACTACCTGTTTGGGGTAATGCGATGTAAAAGCCGGGGAAACGCTGCCACACTGTCAAATATATCACAATCTGTAACTCCGTACACTGGGTCAAACATTTAACTACTGTTTTGTATCTCTCGAATCTACCGGGTAAGTAGGTGGGAGGTCTGCCTACCACCGCAACGTTAACACGAGCTACGCTAGCGTTAGCTAACTTGAATCGTAGAGTATATTTCTTTTGTTAGCTCGGCTGTCATTTTTTCCATACATTGCACGGTGACTGTCCTATTCAAACGATTAACGCTAAGTGTGATAACTGGTAACACCAGTTAACTAGCTATATGCATTAGCTGATCAGGAAGATCGATTATAGTAGGGATCATTAGCGCTAACAGTAGTTGTTTTAATGATGGGTTAGAAAGTAGAGGCTCAGTCTGGTTATTAACGTAACCAAATACGTTTAAGGTGACTATAATCTGTTTCCAAAGCCGTGATTTCACAGCAGACACCATGTCTCCCCGTCGTTTCCCAGGTCTTGCGTGTCATCTTTAGGTGAGGCTGAGGTAACGTTACGTTGACAGCATTGCACAGGGATGCGTCTACAGTAATATCAGCCTCATAACCTAGATAAGTTAAAAGCATATATATCGCCGTCTGTATGAAATCTATATGAAGTAATTACTATATTCGGTCACTATAAACAGTTCTTTGCATAATTGGTCGTATCATTTGGGTGACAGAAGGAACCCAAACATGGAAAAGTAGGGTTTGTCATAGCTGTATGGACAGTATGCACTGCTACCTGCAGATAGCTTACTGCACCAGACATTGAAGTGAAAGCATTATATTTTGAGTTGTGGGAAATGAGTAGCTGTTGTGTTTCAGCACCTGTTGGTCTTTGGGAATGTCCCTGCAATGTGCGCTTTCTCAGCAGACATTTTAAATGAATCAGCATGATTGGGGACACACTGAGATCTTCTGAGTGTTTTGACAATATAGTGTACAGTTGTGTGTCATTTGTGTGCATAAAAACAAACCTGCTTGTATACAGTATCTGTAATGGAATTGCTAAAAAATTTTATATTGTTTGTATAATCAGATATAATTATGTGCTCAAAGTAGTTCACTGTTACTTGCAGCCTTGACTGAGCTTTTTACAGTGTGTCTTATCAGCCTCATGTCAGCTTATTTCAAGTAGAGGATGTAATTCAGGGCTCACAGACATAAAAGACTTGTTTAAAGCTTGCATTTATAGAATTAATGGAAAGTGTGCTGACCCTGCCTGTGGTTTGTGTGTCTCCAGGCTGAAGACAGCTATGGGTGGGCTAGGGAACGGGCGTCGTGGAGGAAGATCACCCCCTCTAATGATTGGTGCTCTAATTGCTTGTATCCTGGTTCTGGGTTTTAACTACTGGGTCTCCAGCTCTCGCAACCTGGACCTACAGGTAGGTCAGTCTATTTGTGTGTTTCTGTTGTTTTCTAACCTTAGTGAACAGTGTAAATGTCACCTTTTATAATGTCACACTTACTCTACTCGAGTTAGGTGAGCCTCACCAGCAGTCTTCTTCATTTCGTCTTTCAGGGTTTCGCAAGTTTGGTTGCGGTCTTTTTTTATACTATGAAATTTCCTGTTTTAGCTTTCGCAATAGCCAGAATTATTAATTTTGAACAAGTACTTTAATGCAAGTGACTGTAAGCAACTAACTTACCCAAGACCTTGCGTATTTGCATTGTGGAACAGGAAAAAGCTAAAGGCCCAGTTAAACAATTCTGCAGTTTTGTAGAAACATTTCTGCCACTGGTGCTGATCCTGGGTACAAGTGACATTTAGTAGAAGCCCCTAAAAACAGCCAGTGTTGTTTATATTGTGTGCCGTTAAAATTGTAGTTTCTGTCAGTCTGTTAGTAATGTATTTTTTATTGTTCATTTCACTGTTAGATTGTTGTTGTTATCATTACCTGCGTTCCTCTGTCTAAATATTATAAAGTGAGCACTCATAAGTGATCTAAAAAAACAGGCAGTTAATGACCTGAACTAACCTCAACGCCTTTGTCTTTCTGTGTGTGATGCAGACTAAGTTGTATGAGTTGGAGGGCCAGGTGCGACATGGAGCAGCAGAGCGAGGTGCAGCAGAGCTGAAGAAGCATGAGTTCCAGGAGGAGATCCAGAGCCAGAAAGAGCAGATCAGCCACTTAGAAAGCCTCTATAAGAGACAGTTGGAAGGAGCTCAGAACACCTGCAGCCAAGAGAAGGTGCACACAAACACCACTGGGAGTTTAAATGGGGACAAAATGCAAAATTGCATGTTAAACTGTTGTCTGTAAACTGTAGTCACAGGGGGATTCAAGGACAATGGAAACACTTGGCCTTGCTCACTGTTGTTTTTCACACCAAACTCACACATTATCAAGGGAAAAATTAATACAGATTGTAAAGCAACTGTGAATGTCTACACTTGATATGCTTCTGTTTCTAGGTCACAATGCAGAAGAACATTTCTTCAAGTACTAAAACCATAGAGGAACTTAAAGGTAACTGTCAACATTTAAACCTCTGTTCCTCAAAAACTGCATTATTAACAGCTGACAGAGCGCCGCAGAAAAATAATATAATTCACTTCTCAGGTTTCTTTTAAAGTTTTGTGTTTGGTTATACTGTAGGTCAGTTGAATCGACTAAATGATGAGCTGGGGAAGCAACAGAAGGAGCTGCAGAGTTGCCAAGGCAACATCAACACCCTTAACAACAAACTCGCATATGACAAGTAAGAAATTCTTTTACACATTTGTGATTATACATGTAACATGTCTATTTGAAAGGAGATGAAGATGAATTGCTTTAACATCATTTATCTTAGTTGCAGCCCCTTTGATATGAATAATTGAAAATAACCACATTTCACCATTAATCTTACATCAGACAGGCTCTTGAATTACTACCTCTGCCATTGCAAAATGCCTAAGTCAAGTACATTTGTATCTCAATGTCATTCCTGGTTAACATGTTTGTGTGTGTTTGTACGCACACACAGGACCCATTGCAACTCCCCTGAAGTTCCAAAAAAAATGGAGAAGCTCATGCCACCTCAAGGTGCCTCCTCACATGTAAGCTGGCTTTCATACTTGACAGTTAACTACCCAGTAGGGATGTCCATAGCCTCTCCACAGGCATGCCAGTCATCATAAATGCTCCGTTGTGCTCAGCCTGCACTCCAGGCTGCTAGCATGCATAGCATACCTAGATGATGAGAGATGAGCTACAAGCAGGGCAGTCAAAAACTGTGCATTTCTCCACCTGTATATGATGGACTTTCGCTACATGTTTACACAGATTGCTCGTGGTTCAGCCCTGACATGCAAAAGACATTGCACAAACATCATCAGCATTTACCTAGTGAAAACCAAACCAACATAGTTACTTTCACGTAGCAATAATAAATAGAAAATCTGTTTTCTCAACTTCTCCAGTACCGATAGCGTCAGGGCTTATTGATAATATGTTCTTTAATAATTCAGCACCAGTGGCTGTTAGTACCGGGATTCAATACCCATCCCTAGATATCAGCATCCTGGTATCAGAGGCTTGATTCTTAACATGATGTCCAGTGTGACATGTAACAACGCATATAACACAGTTCAGAAATATAAAGCATGATGTTAATGTTTCTTTCAAATCAGCAGTGGCTGAGTGGAAACAGTTTGGGTATCTGCTTTTGCTCATATTTACAACATAATTCAAGCTCAAAACTGTTGAACGTCTTAGTGATTAAGATCACTGATTCTTTTTCTTGTGAGTGACATTAAAATTGAAATCCCCCGGCTGCACATCGCAGAAACAACACTTCATCAAAACTTAACACACCTTTTTCTTTTCTGGGGTGGAGCCTTGTTATTGCCCATGCTTACCAGCCTACATCATCAAGCAAGGAAAATGGGTAGTCTTTTAAATTTTGGTGGATAAATTATATCTATTCAAGCTCATCCTCAGTGATCTGTTTCCACACAAGTGTGGAAATGTAATTGTCATTACTTGGACCTGTTAATGTAACAAAATCTAAAGGAAAGTAAAGGCCCACTAGTCCTACAGAGCCAGAGCTTTTTATTTTCTAGTGTGCAAGTAAGACTTAGGTCTAATATTCATTAACTCTGTTGCTAGTGTTGCTGAACCTTGTCTGCCCTATTGTTCCTTTGGTGACTTAATGAAAAGTTAAAATAATGGTGTTTACTCCTCTGCAGGAACATGCAATGATTGAAGCAGCAAAAGAGGGTGGACATGTCATGACTGGGGCTGATGCAGTTAAGACAGCCACCGTTTCGAGCCACACCCCAAGCGCCTCTCAGCCTAAAGGAAATGAGCCATCTGAACTACTGACCAACGAAATCACCGTAGGCAAAGGTAAATGAAAAACATGGCCGTCCCAGCGGCTCAGTCTGTTTAGCTGAAGCGTAACACATAAAAGCATGCAGTGGGACTAATGTTTATTTATGTGCATCCAATGCACTTTATATGTTTATATCTCTGCATATCTCTATGCACTTGCAATCACAAGTGTATAGACTCACGTTGCACTTGCTTTCTGCCTTGTTATTTTCCAGGTCCCGATGCCCTTGTGGATCTGCCTCCAGCAATAGATCTCTCTAAAGTACAGTCCCAGTCTGTTCCCTTGAGTGCCGAAGACAAGCAGGACATTTTGCAGCCACCAGAGGGAGCTGTGAAAACACAGGAGGGTGAGGCAGAGCCCATTGAACCTTTGAAAAATAACCTGACTGAGGAGAAAGACATGCAAGTGATTGATGCTCACGAAGAAGAAACTCCAACAGAAGGTAAAGAACTCGGGCACACAACAAATTAGTACTAGCAAAAGATTCAGTGCCAGTCATTTGTCTCTACCATACTGTACAGTAGAACAGAATAAGGTAAAGAATAATTTCTGACTGCATCCAACTGTACTACATAGCAGCTAGAGATAAGGGTTGGACTTCAGGAAAGAAACTGCTGGCAACAGGCTGAAATGTCTCTTTTTGTATCAGTAAAGCATTCAGTCTAAAATTATACAATTTGGCCTTTTTTAAAACATCCTCCTCCAGCAATACATTAGTGTTGCTTCTGGCATGTTGCTTCTGTGACCAGTCCCAGCCAACCTGAGCATATATTCATGTTTTTATGCAGACAGAGAGAATGTGCATCCTACACATGTGCTATAGCATATGTGTGTACACCCTGCCTAGAGTGTGTAACAGCTGAGGCAGCCTGGCAACCTATTGTCCACTCCACCCCATTCATTGAGTTGCAGTGATAGTCGGTCATAGACATTCTCAGTGAAGAGTTTGTTAAATTGTTGTAAAATTAAACAGCATTTTGGTCCTGTCCCCCGAAGCAGATCCTGGGATGGAAGATATGTTGATTGGCCAAGGGAAGGCAGATGATACTCCTATTGGTCTGAAACTGGATGGGTACGACGCAGACGAGCAAGTAGTGGGGGAAGCCAATTTTGAGAAACAGCAGAATAAACAGGATGAAAATATAGGTGTGTGTGTTTATATACAATAAAACTGAAAAGGTGTCTGTACATGGAGAGAGAGCATGGGAGAATGAGCAGTCCAAGAGCAGTCGTCCATTTGAAGGCCAGAAGCTTGAGTGAAGGAAAGAAATATGGGTTGTCTCATATTAATTATCACATTATATTGTACTGTTTGATAGACAAGGACATGGAGGCGGAGCTGGCCGACTATAACGGGGATGATGAGAATGAAGGGGAGTATGAAGCAGACAAACAAGCTGAACTTGCTCAGAACTAAGGTAAACACTGAAACACACTGTCTTCCTCACTGATATTCACTTGCTTTTTTGTTCTTCTGGTTATTATGATGTCAATGTCAACGATTTTTTTTTCTAAATATGTTTCATGGTAGTTCAGTTCAGCATCCAGTCAACATTGAGCTGTTTTTGTATCACTGTCACTTTTGGAAATCTTAGCTGTGTTTTTAAAAAAGTGCAGTTAAAGTGGTACTTAAAGGGGGTTTAAGGTGCAAGCGCATACAATGAAGTGACTGGGACAAAATAATAGTGGAACTGGAACATGTGTTGTCATTTTTTGTATAGTACTTCTTTTTTTCTATCCCAGTTATCATTTTTGTCATTTGCTATTTTTTGAAATATGCTGCCATGAAATAAACAATTGAAAAAAGCATTTTGCACATGGCTATTATGTCCTGCACCTGCAGCAGCTTTTACTGTTGGATATTCATAATGGTTTTGTTAACACAGCTGATTTTTTTTCTGCAGGCCTGGACTTAGAGAACAATGCTGCACACTACGTCAGGAAGCAGCAGCAGCACACAGGGTAATGCAGCCCTCCAAACACTGAACACAAAAAGAAGCCAGATGGAAATTTCTATATGAAAGGCTTGTGACATTAGGTTGGCTAGTTTCATGAGTTTTGTATTTGTGATCTTAATTAGAATTTGTACATTAGATTTTATTACATGCTGTCTGATATTTCATTTATTGGTTGGGATCACCAAATTTACCCAGTTCACTACTGATTGAAAAAAGTCAGTCAAGTACACACGACTGTAATAAATACATCCATCCATCCATCCATTTTCCTCCGCTTATCCGGGACCGGGTCACGGGGGCAGCAGTCTAAGCAAAGATGCCCAGACTTTCCTCTCTCCAGACACTTCCTCCAGCTCCTCCGGGGGAATGCCAAGGCGTTCCCAGGCCAGCCCAAAAGACATAGTCCCTCCAGCCT